AAACCAGACCTTATATATTTATCTGTTTGCCTTTTACATGTTTTTTTTACTTAGATACGTTACCTATTGAGCTATCACATTTACCGGTAGTAAACAGACGTTTTTTTTTTGTTTTCGAGATTCGTGTGTTACATTTATTGAATCATTAATGCCTGACATTTTTTTTTTTTAATAAACTAGACCTTAAATCTTTATCACCTTACCTTAACACGTCTTTCAGACTTTTTTTTTTACCGGCTAAGTTACCATATTTAGTTAACAGACGTTTTTATCTTGTGCAGGTTTTTTTTTTCTGGTGTTCCTTATTCTTCTCAGGAATGGACGTCCAGTCATACTTGTGTTTGTTTTTTTTTACAATTTTATTTTCACAGAGCACAGGAATATGCCTCTTGAAGATGCTTTGCGGTTTTTTTTACAAAATTTTGAACAGTACATGCAAGACCTTCGTAAGAGAGCTGGTGATCTTGTTTTTTTTAAAGAGAAAGAAAAAGAGAAAGAGAAAGAGAGGGAGCGTGAAAAGGAAAAAGATTTTTTTTGAGAAAAAGAGCGTGCTCGAGAACTTGAAAGAGAAAAAGAGCGTGAGAGAGAATTTTTTTTACGAAGCTCCTACGGATCCTCATCAACGACCAARGTGGCTTCTCAGGAACCAGTTTTTTTTAAAAAACTTCTTGGTAAGGCTGCATCGGGCGGCCAGCTTTCCTCTGATGAGTTTTTTTTTTTCATAGAAAATTTGTCCAAGCAGAAAAAGCAGACCGAAACTCAGAGCAGCACATTTTTTTTTGGAGCCTACAATGTGTTCCTTTTCAAACCTGTTTCTCTGTCCTTGTCTGAATTTTTTTTTAAGTAACGGAAGAAATACTGCAGTTTTTTCAATTGTCGTACATGTATGATTCATTTTTTTTGTCGATCTGTAGTACAACTTTTAATCCGTTGTGCCTGAATAGTTCTCGGTCTATTTTTTTTTACTGCTTTGAACTTATTCTTTGGATGAACCAATAATCTTGTACTGTAGCACATTTTTTTTTAACAGTGATCGTGTGTGGTACATAATAGCTAACATTATTTTTTGCGACACACTTTTTTTTGTAAGCCTTTCAAATTTTGATGATCACAAAAACCATGGGCAAATTTCTGTTTATTTTTTTTTAAAACTTTTTTTTTTACTCTGACAATTGTGTTTTTCAAGAAAGTTGATGTATTTTTTTTTGTTTTTGTTTTTAAAATCGTTTCTTGACAAATATTATTACAATCAATCTTTCGTTTTTTTTCACAGTTAGTCAACCCCAAACAGATGCTAATTCCATTGCAAAGCAGCAAGCTGTTTTTTTTGCTAAGATTTTCAGCATTTTGAACCCCAGTGCGTTATCCAAAGTATCTCTCACTTTTTTTTAGTCAGCAACAGGGACATCTTCACTTACAGCTGCAACTGCAAAGTCAACTGGATTTTTTTTTGCGTCATCGCCATTGTTTCCTGCAGCTAAAGCTTTGGCAGCAGCCTCAGCTTTTTTTTTTTATGGTGTACCTGGGGCAAGCAGTGTATCTACAGGAGCTCAGAGTGGCGGTTATTTTTTTTGTTCTTCCCAGCAATCCGCTGGACCTGCCAATTACGGTGTCCAAAAGGCTCCTTTTTTTTTATGGTATTCTGGTAATTCAGCATCAACTACTTCTACCTTCAATACCCCAACTCTTTTTTTTGCTCAGTCATATGGAAACAATGCCCAAAAGACTCCTTCATCAGGGAATTATGGTTTTTTTTAAGCTTCACCAACAGGTTTCGGAGTGCCAAAAGCTTCTCCAACAAGTTATGGTTTTTTTTTAGCTTCACCAACAAGTTATGGAGTTCCAAAAGCATCRCCAACCAGTTATGGAGTTTTTTTTGCTTCACCAACCACTGGGAGCTATGGAGTGCCTAAAGCTTCACCAGGTAGTTATTTTTTTTCCAAGGCTTCAGCCACGAGCTTTGGAGTCCCAAAGGCCACCAACAACAGTTATTTTTTTTTAAAGACCTCTGCAGCACAGCCAAGTTCTGATAACTCTGGCTATGGGCCTTCAGTTTTTTTTGTACTTTCAAACAGAGGTGGCTTCCAAGGGCCAGGCAGAGGGGGAGTAGCCAGTTTTTTTTCGCCYCCAGGGGTGACAGCWGTACGTGGTGGTGCTCCTCCAAATGCTAGAGGTTTTTTTTTAAGAGGTGCACCCTACCAAGTACGAGGTCCTGCTCCTCGGGGTCAACCAGCAGTTTTTTTTCCTACTAGAGGATATCCACCCAGAGGTGGGGCRCAAGGGGGRCMGCGTTATGGTTTTTTTTCTTTTAGAGGACCTGCACCACAGGGAGCTCCTATTAGTACTGTCCAGGGACGTTTTTTTTTGCCACCAAGATATTGAAACAATGAACAATACAGCAACCTGTGAACACTTTTTATTTTTTTTTGAYGTTTAAGAAAWGTTGTGCTATTCGTGATTTTTATGAAAGAACTTTCACTTTTTTTTTTTACACTATAAACAACTGCTGTGAAATCCTTGCAATGGACAGTGGAAATGCTATTTTTTTTTGTGACTTTTATGAACCAGCTTCAAGTGATGGACTGAGTATATTGTAAAGAATTTTTTTTTAGTCGTTTACTTTGAACTACACCTTGAGATTTTAGTAAAGCTTCAGATTTAAATTTTTTTTCTCAAACCACCATTATTATCATCATATTAGGGTGAAACAGATAGGTTCTTTTCTTTTTTTTTTATTAAACAACATGAGCATGCATTACATCAGGAAAGCTTTTATTTGATCTTGTTTTTTTTTATGGTTAAGCTTATGAGTATAAGAGAATATTTTTTAACTTCGTTCAGTTGTATTTTTTTTGTATTTTAGTTTGACTATATCGTGGAGTCAGTTCATTTCATTTTTGCATCATTTTTTTTTTGTTCCAAGACAATAAATTATTGTACACATTGAGACAATGCGACTTCTTTTGTATTTTTTTTTGCTTTCTAATATGTTTGTGTATCGTTAATGCATTAATCAGCTAGGAGTTGAATTTTTTTTAAAAGTAGAACTTATACACAATGTGTTTAAACTCAAAAATAAGAATTTGAAACTTTTTTTTTGCAAATTTTATCGGCAATAGTTATAGTAATTAGTTTCAATCATGGTAGTTATTTTTTTTTGTAAAACATTGGGACTAAGCTTGCAAGTGAACATATCCAAGAAAGACTACAGTTTTTTTTTATCAACTTTATCTGGGATTGATCCAAAGGGGGTGACAGGGCCCCCCATTTTGTTTTTTTTTGCTTAAATACATATTTATCTGACCTGAATAATTCAGACAAGCCAATTGAAAATTTTTTTTTTTCCCCCCTTTCCCCTTTCAAAGTGTCTGGATCTAATTTAGATTGGTTTATTGTTTTTTTTCACATTTTTTTTTCGCTTTTTGTTTTAACTTCCACATTTCTTTGTTTTTGTTTTTTTTTTTTATTGTTATAAT